CTTGCGGCCGTAGATGGCCCAGTTCACGAAGTACGCCACCGAGCGGTACTGGCCGTGGCCTGGTCCCCCGCCCATTTCGGATGTTGATGGTGGGTTGGCGGGGTGGTGGGAATGGTCGGGACCAAACGGGTTTGGGACGTAGGGTTGGAAGGAATCGAACCAGGTTAAGGAGGGGTTGTTACGGAATAATAGGAGGGTAGTGAGAAAGATGAACGTGGAGGTGACGAGGAAGAGAAGGAGTCTTGGTGATAACATATAGAAAATAGAGGTTTTAGTTAGGCTTCAAGTTCTTATGAATGCTTCATAAAGTTGATTCAGCTCTCCCGTGTCTAACCAATCAACGAGGTTCAGAGGCCCCGGAGCGGGATGACGTCGGAGCCCTCACGGTTCTGAGGCTAAAACGGCAGGGGCTTAGAAGTCCACTATCTTGGCAGCTGTGGCTGGTGCCAGATGCACACGCAACGAAAGAGGCTGAGCAGTTACCACAAGCAGCATCAGCCTGTAGGCCCTGACAAAACCCAACCCATGAGCGCCCACGAAAACCCATGGGTACTTGGCGGGCGCCCAAGTAGACCCATAGGCCAGGTTGGGCCAAAGCCCATTTGGGGGCCCAACTGCTTGATTTTTTTTTGAGGCTTAAAATTGTAAAATATCAATATTTAGAACAATATAAAGATTAGGACAATAATTAGTACAAAAGCCCATGGGCTGCCAAGAACCCATTGGGTTGCCAAGAACCCAATGGGTTATTTGGTTGGGCGCCCATGGGTGCGCTAGGCTGTGGGTTCTTGGCATTTGGGTTGGGTTGTCAGGGCCTAGCATCAGGCACAACACTGTTGGCACCACTGGGCCCTGGCATGTGGTCCACACACACTCATTACATCTACACCACCTACAGAAAGACTAGGGGCGCTTAGTTATATGAAGAAGCGCTTAGGAAGGAATGACAACTGGGGATTTTGACCATGAACTCGGGAATGCCTACCTATCTCTCTCATTCCTTCCAAAATGCTTGGTGTATTTGGTCGACCTAATCTCGGCCTTTTGGCCGTTGACTTTTTGAAGAATCACACTGTCATTCTCGCCTGGACATAAGTCATTGAATTCCGTTGGTGACAAGCGGGTAAGTAACGTATTCGGCTCTATCCCCCCTCACTATGTCGTGCGGGTTTGACCTAGACACTTCCTTCTCCCAGTTGTGTAATTCGATACCTACTTGTAACCCCGCCACTCCATCCAAGCTTGTGAATAGTCTTCGAAGCCGCGATCTCCCAGTGCCTTCTGCATCTCTGATCTCCACCAAGTCGGACATGTAGATGCGGAAGCAGACAAATCCATCCCACCCGAGATTCGAAATTTGGTTCTGATCCAGCCCCGTGGGAAATAACCCGAAATCTCGAAGTCGATAATCCCCAGTTTGCCTGATTTTGGCTCATCCTCCACGATGATATTGGTAGGTCCGAGATCGGCATGGCAAAAGACGACACTAGAACAGTCCATGCCAATAGCCTCGCATCCTGCTGGAACCAAACCGAACATTTTGCTACCAGGAGGTGTGACGAGAAAGTGTTCGGGAACACACTGCTTGTCCACACCACCGACTTGATCTCCTTTCCACTCAGCCATTTCCTGACAGATGCCCACTACAGCATGGACGTAGTATCGCTTCCAAGATTCATCTAGTGTCGGCCATGCACGGTCGAGAGTCCGACCAGGTAGCCTTCTCATAAACAAGAACGATTTGTTATCGTAAACTTCATAGGAAAGTACTTCGGGCGTTTCGAAGCTAGGGTTTTTGCTTCGAACAAAGTCTAAAGCTACGGACTCAGGCGTCACCCCGTCTTCCAGGTACCGAACCTTACACAGTACATTGCTTCCTATCGACCATACAGCAGACGCGTCCCCGCATTCGTAGATCAATCGTATGTGAGGAGAGTCAAGCGGTGTAGTCGAGACAAACACTCCAGGAGCTTGCTTAACCAAGTGATAGTTCGAATGGTCGCTATGATCGCTCCAAGTTGCCTTTTCAGAAAGGACTGAGGATCGACGGAGGACAAGGTCGCCAATCAGCCAGGTAGCGGCATCGATTTGCTTGATGGATTTGTTGATGTGCTGATCACCCCACTTGCGCTTGTCAGCCATGGCTTTGGAAAACACTACTGGGGATCAGGCTGTTGGCTTCTCGAGAGATGGACAAATATTGATGCTGCGGCAGAAACCATGTGCCTCAGCACAAGGAAAGCTGGGGAATTGTCAGTGCTGACTGCTGGTGACTCCAGTATAGACTTATTCTTATTGCACAAGGAAGGAAGTGCTATCTGCTACTCTTAGTTATTTCCTCTTGGCTTATATAGCCCTATAGGTGGTCCGTGCACCTAGTGTTAGTTTGATACCGTGACAGGAATGCGCCTTTGAGACTGTTGTCGCGGGCAGCGTGCGACAGGCTGGTCCGTGATGTATAGGCGAGAGGAATCGGTATCATGCATTGTTGCGGCTCAATCTAAAGCTTGCCAGTGAGTAGCCCAGTATATACCATAGCGGGCCAGGGGGGGTAGGTATACAAAATGGTTGTCGGGAACGTTTTAGACCTCAACGCCATGAGGTACATATAACAGACTTGTACATGGGGAAACATCCTGTCTGGTACTTCGTAGCCATGTAGCATTAAAATCAAGTCGCAGCTCTAGATATAAATAGGTATACAGTGCCGACAGACCCAAAACAGTGTCCCGGAGATCAAGCTGAATATAAGCATCCCAGTCTCAGGAAGTCTAAGCCTCCTCCCCGTTTACGTTGCCAAGTCACTGCAACCTGAAGCTATTCTCATCTCCAAGCCGAAGGGAACATGGGGTGAATCCGCTTTTGCAGCGTAATTACCTGTCCCAGTCGCGGGAATGAACACTACAAGCGATCTTAGGCGTCTGGGTACAAAGTATCTGGGTGTCTAAAGTCCCTTTTGCACTACTGAGTGTTGATGACAAATGCATCTAGATCCTACTTTCTGGTAGTGGTTACATCACTTATAATTCCTCAATCATCAAATACACGCAAATTGAGGTTAGACATTGTATTCACAGATATATAGATATATAAACCGCAGAGGTGCATGTTAGGAATTAAATCATCATTCCGTTCGAACCCTATTATATTTATTCTATCGAGCTGCGACGATATTTCCACACCCGCCGCAATATCTACATAAGAGACTTCGAACTCGAAGAATGGAATAGTAATGAATCAAACACAGCCGACGACCCCGTGTGAGTGAGGTATCTGAAAATGCGAAACCCGAGAATGTCTCCCTTCTATCCTTCGCCATAGCCCATGGATAACAGAGCAGAGCCTTGCTGTTCTCGTATGACTCCATCTCGAAAACCGATGCCGCCGTGAATGCAGTCAGAGCAGCAAGGCCAAATATACCCGCGACGCCAATAAGCCGTGTGAAAGAGCGACGGGAATTTAACGACGACAATTAAGAAAAGGATGATGATAAGAGTGACGAGAAAGTCTCGAAGTAGCCCCGTCCCGAAAGACCCTCGCATTCATGTCGACTCGGAGATCATTCCACCGCCGGTGCACAAGATGCTACCGACGTGGACAGCCCCGCTCGGCATGACCGAGGGGTGGCCGAAGGTGAAGGGCTGGCCGTGGGGGCCGCTCGCAAAGGTGCCGTAGTACGGGATGCAGGAGACACTGTCGTCGCGGAGGATGTACAGCTTCGAGACGGCGGCGAGCGCGGGCGGGTTCCGGTAGAGGGCGTCGACGGGCACGTCGATGGTCGTGTTCGCGTGGTGGAATCCCTCCTTTGCTTGCGAGTTCTCGACGACCACCGTGGTGCATGGCGTGTTTTGACACGGGATCAGCTCGGGCGGGAAGCCGACGGCGAGGGCGCCGCCGAGGAGTGGGAGGAATGCGAGGAGAGTAGTGCGCATCTTGATGATTGTTGTTTGGAATGGTGTGATTTGTTTTGTGAGTTTGCGAGGACGTTGGTAGATGAAAATCTCGTAGATGCGGAGATTTGGCGTGAGCGTCTGTCTGTCGATGAGAAGTGGTAAGTGAGAGATGATGTGCTGCGAAGGGTTCTAGAGGCATCTTATATCTCTTTTATACCCATGAACAACTCCGTGCTAGAGGTTGTTTGAACTTTCTTTCCGTAACTGATTCTAAATCTTCATGTGAACAAAATAAAGTTAATACCTAACGGATGCTAGCCGTGATAAGATTTGAGCATATCCTCTACTGTCTGTCTACCTAACAGTCTACATCTAGCATCTCCAAGACTGTCGTCGGCCAGTAGACTCATGGTCCTTGCGAGCACGATATACCTGGGCTTCGAAATCGAGTAATCAATCACGATTCCTTGGCTCATTGATATGCCCTTCTCTTCAAGTAGCTCTTTCCATACGGCACAGCCACGTGGTATACATTTCAACCCGGCGTTATGTATGGAGGTTTCGCAATGGCAACACCTCTGCACGCCACAGGCTAGGGTCAAACTCAGTGCTACGGGAAGGCCCCTTAGACTGTCCATGTGTAAGCTCTACCTAGACGGAAGGGGCAGACGGGAACATCTTCATCTGCAACTTTAAACCCGATCGATTCACGTGGTGTCGTTTGGCGCGATGTTTAAGTGCAATTAGTGTGTCTGCCATCAGTGGAAACCTCAAGTAGAAACTCTATTCTCGCAACTTGGCGACGACTTGTGAAAAGTGTAATCTGATGTTGCCCAGTGCTGACAATTAGTTTTGAAAAAGGGTGGCCTACATGAATGAAAGGTGCTGGCTGTAGAGTTCGTGTGACCAAAAAAAAAAAAAAAGTTCGGTGTTCCTTGCTACTGTATTGAGACTTGAGGGCCTACTCGGCCTAGGGAACGTAGAAAGTATTGCATTGATTGAGGTCCACGATCTCGTTAAGTATATTTGTAAAAGAGGGAGAGGTTTTTTATTTAAAAAAAAAGATGAGGCTGCTTTCCCCAGTGAACTGAGGAGCATCAGGAATTGAGCCCAATGCGGGGGTCGAACCTAAGCGTTGTTATTAGCATTGGTCGCACTTATTTCTGTGCGTCGAATCGTGCAACTTACCCGCAACCTTGAGATTAAGAGTCTCACGCTCTACCGATTGAGCTAACCGGGCGATGGGACAACTTCTCGCGGGATTACATAATGAGGCTAGGGGAGCGGATGAGAAGGAAGGGCGGACAAACGACGGTTTGCGGGACTCGGGAGCCTCTCTCTGCCTGTCTCACACCATGGATCGAGCATGGGAATCAGCCTGTTTCCGTGCCTTCTTAACAGCGCAAGTGACCCCTCATGGTCGTTTTACCTTATCTACATAGAGTACGAGGTTGGTTATAAGTTACTTTCATGGCGATACCTAGCTACCATGTTTGAGGCTGTTTTTGTTGACGCCGACTGACTGGAAGCCAGTCCCGCCTGTTCAATGCTGGCATTGCATTTTACAGTATACCCTGTTCTGGATACATAGGTATGCATCGAACGGGGTTGATCAATGCCGCGCCGAGCTTCTGCCGGGCCTGAATACTCCACCCGCGCCGACACGATCCATGTAGGTTAGGTACGTACCTCTCTTATCGGAGAAGTGGAACCAGAGCTTTCGAGCTCTGGGATCCAAAATTTTCAATTCGGGCTTTTGCATTTCAACCTCGCCCAGTCTGCAGGTATTATTGCAACGTCGACAAGCCTTATCCCGGGCGCAATTACCGACACGTTGCCGCCGATCAAAGTTGTATATGTTATAGAACTTGCATTGCAATCCAACTAGGCCAATTCCGACCTCAGAGACCCCGTCTCGACCTGCGCATCGATCCCCCCGATTTCTATCCATCTGTCGCAGTCGCGGTCGACGCCAGTTGCAAACATGCCGCACGTCGACTATCTTCTGTATGAGGTTAGCACCTTGGACTCTATTGATCATGGCGCTTTTCTGTCGCGTAGACACGGAGTAGAGGAGTAGTAGAGGAACCTCGCTGACCCCCTGATCACCCCGACTTAGTCTGCGACCGGATACGCCATCTTCAAGGTGGTCCACCAACAAGATGATGTCGCCCTCCGTCTGGAAGAGACCAAGAAAGCTGCCGAAGACCTATCCAAGATGGGCAAGATGCTGAGTCTCACCTCGTTTGCGCCCTGGAAATCCGCTGCCGAGGCCCTCGAGAACATCCACAGCGTCAGCGAGGGGTTGATGACCGACTATCTGAAATCCACCATCGAGCTCAACATCCCCGTGTCGAAGAAGAGCAAGGTGGTCTTGGGCGTCGCCGATAAGAATCTTGCCGGAGAGATCAAGTCTGCTTTCCCCGGCATTGAGGCTGAGACTGGCGACACGTCCGAGGTTGTCGCGTATCTGCTGCGCGGCATTCGTCTGCACGCGTCCAAGCTATTCAAGGACCTGAAGGAAGGAGACGAGGAGAAGGCTCAATTGGGCTTGGGCCATGCTTGTAGGCATTCTAAGGCCTTTGGCTTGCCTGTCCATTGTTACTAACATGCTTGCCTAGACTCGCGATCTAAGGTAAAGTTCAATGCCCATCGCAATGATAATCATAGTAAGTTGCCTTCAGTTGATGTTCCTCTTACGTATTTCTGTCGGCTCCGGGAGAGTTCGTTGCGTCTATCCTCAAATAGCAGTGACTGATAATGCTGGCTATAGTTATCCGTTCTATCGCGACGTATGTACAACTCCAACGATATTTTCTAGCTGGTCTTTTGTTAACGTTGGACCCGATAGCCTCGATAATCTTGATAAGGTAAGCATTCCATTCCCTTTCCATTTTGGCTCATTGGAGGGTCGTTCTATGGCGCAGTCGTTAGGTTCAACTGCCCCTGAATGACACCTTCGGTTGCGGGCGTGTAATTTGAACGACGTTTGCTGACTTGCGGCTCAGGGTATCAACCTCTTCTCTCAGAAGCTGTGAGTACTATGAAAATAACTGCCTGCCTACTATGGGTAATCTTTGGAGCAGATCTCTCCTGGATGACCGTGTAGCTGGCAGAACCCCATCAACCAAGTTGAATAGTTACTGATTTCGATAACGTGAAGGCGAGAGTGGTATAGCTGGCATTTCCCAGAGTTGGTGAGCAGACTTGTTACTGCCTTTGTCGCATGAACACGCTAACACTAGACGTTAAAGTATTCTATCTGTTCTGATAATCTCACATACGCCAAGGTAGCATGTTTCGTGGGAGATAAGAGCACATTAGGTGATGAGAAGCTTCATGAGCTGGCTGGACTCCTAGGCGATGACGAGGAAAAGGCGACCGAGATTATCCTCAAAGCAAGGATGTCTATAGGAAGAGAGTTAGGCGCCGTCGACCTCGAGAATGTCCTCACATTTGCCGAAAAAGTTCAGAACATGGCTGGTAAGGCTCAAATCCTCATGATGTTCTCGTTGCCACTGCTAACGATTCTTCTAAACACAGAGTACCGAAGGTCCCTCTACGCCTACTTGGTTAGCAAGATGGAGACCGTGGCACCAAATCTTGCTACTCTGAGTTAGTAATCCTTCATAACCCTTTTCTTTCACCTTAGTGGGTTTGGCACTAGTCGTCGCTGCCTTGCGTCTACTAGTCCAGCTATCGTTTTATGTTACTACTGACATTGCTGACCGCTGCTCTTAACAGTTGGTGATGTGGTAGCGGCGCGCTTAATCCAGAAAGCCGGTTCCTTGACCAACCTGGCCAAGTATCCCGCCTCGACATGTAATTAATACTCCCCACGTTAAGTGATTGTCTACTAATACGGCCTAGTGCAAATTCTTGGAGCAGAAAAGGCCCTGTTCAGAGCCCTCAAGACTAAGACGTAAGTATTCGCGACTTCGGATCTCCGTTATTTTCCTCTCAATCCCAAATTTCTATTCGCGTGGACTTCCTGATTAGAATTGTGTTTCGCCACGTCTCTGTCCTCCGCTAGACTCAATATTCCACATCATCCGCTAACCGACAGTACTAATTCTCAATTGCCAATAGGAATACACCCAAGTATGGAATTTTGTTCCATGCCAGTTTCATCGGAAAGGCTGCGCAAAAGGACAAGGGTCGTGTGAGCAGATACCTTGCCAACAAGTGCAGTATTGCGTGAGTATTTCCCTCGCTTCTGGCTCGCCGTTTCGATTGGCACAATACTGATTGTTGATACCTGGTAAAGTGCTCGTATCGATAGTTTCTCCGAGGAACCCTCCAAGAAGTTTGGCGAGGTTCTACGTGGTCAGGTCGAGGATAGATTAGAGTTTTACGCCACTGGCAAGAAGCCGATGAAGAATGCCGACGTTATGGACAAGGCCGTAGCAGATCTATTGGCCGAGGGCCAGAGCCTGGCTATCGACACGGAGATGATCGATGCTCCACTCCCATCAACGGCGCAGGCACCTCAAAAGGAGAAGAAGTCCAAGGACAAGAAAGAAAAGAAGGACAAGGAGGAGAAGAAGGACAAGAAGGATAAGAAGCGCAGACACAGCGAGGTCAAGGACATCGCCGAGCCGGACGCGGAGGTCGACGGCGAGAAGAAGAAGAAAAAGAAGAAGAGGCACTCGGAAGCATAGCTCGGAGCGTCTCTCCCCCGGCACCCCTGAAGCAAGCGCGATGGCGAAGTTAATCTATCAGCATCTCGGGGATGGCGTTTTCACGCATGGTTATGGGCGTTTCTGGATCTGGAGTGCTTTCTCGCTGGTATCTGGCTGTCTCTGTGTCCGTCTATCTGTGTCTGGTCTTGTGTACATACATGTATGGGATCATACCCATTTGGTGTTTCCTTTCCGCCCTATCTTTCATTTCTCTCTGCCCTACTTTTCTTCCCTGCCTTGCTCGTAGACGTGAATGGACCTGTGCGGGAACAAAAATATGCCTCGAATCATCGGTCCGTTGTCGCGCGCGGCGTAGCGAGGGCTTCATGAAAGTCCGGACTACAGTGGCCCTGTCCACGGAGATGGATTGCGTACATTGGCGAGCGCGGGGAGAGCCCTTCCCGCTCTTGTAGGGAGAAGGGTGGTTTATGGAGTGTCATATTCCGCGCGCACTTATTCATTTTACTCAATCGCTCGCGGAGAATATCACAGTTGTTAAGCTGAGTGAACTTTATCATCATGCATGGTATATCATTATCATTGACACGCCATGCCATGCCATGATCGTCGTGCGTGGATAGCGAGGTAGGTACACTTGAAGAGAGGCTTGGCTTACTCGAGTTCCGAGTTCTCGAGTCCTCATATAATGACGCGAGCCCCAAAAACGCCCAATGCGATGCCCGGGACTTGTCTGCTTTGTTTGTCTTCTCTTCTCTCTCTCTCTCTCCCTTTCTCTCCCCCACCCCCCCTCTCTCTACGTCGTATCTCGCTACGTCCTCTGTACATCTCTTCATGGCTCGTTCCTCATCTCGTGACGCAAGCAAGTCTGCGGGAAAAAAAGGGTGTTAAATGCGTCGTGTGTAGCTGATTAAGTTAAGTTATATTTAAATCGTCGCGTCGCGTCGCGTCTCTCTCTCTAGTTCCCCTCGCTGCCGAATTCTTTGGTCCAGTCCGAGTTCCGTTTCAGGTCTTCCGCGGCGACGGTCGGCCGCGACGACTTTATGGCCTTGACGAAGTCTTTGAAGTCGACGAGGGGCTCGAGGAGCGTCTGGGCGTCTATGTCGTCCCAGGTCATCTCCCTCGCGCCCGGGTCTCCCGGGGAGCAGGGCGTGACTTTTATTACGTCGTCTACTTGTACCTATTTCGTCGGCTGTTGTTAGTGCTCGTCCCGCGCTTTCGTTCAGGGGGTGGTGAAGAAAGGAGTCTGGGGTCTTACCTCTTTGAAATGTGTCGCTTGTTGAATTTTCCGTACGGGCTGCATCAGGGCGTCTTGTACCGCAATGGCAATATCGCTGCCCGAGTAACCGTCGGCCAGCTTCGCTAATGCGCGGCAGTCGTCGTTTGTTAACGTTGTGGGCGTCTCGCCGATGGCGAGCTTAAACATGGTCGTCCTCGCGGCCAGGTCGGGTAAGCTGATGTGGACCCTGCGTTGGAAACGTCTCCGGATGGCGGCGTCTAGTTGCCACGGGATGTTCGTCGCGCCGAGCACGAGCACGCCCGTCGAGTCCTTGCCCACGCCGTCCATCTGTACCAGCATCTCGGTCTTGATACGCCGGGA